GGATACCGGACCACAGAATAAAGATCCATACAGAAGGGCCACTTACGTCGGAAGCTTTGAAGTTTCTGTCCTCGCGCATGTCGCATTACGCATGTTGGCCGCCATTTTCCTAGCCAGTCAGTGACATTTTCTGGCCAATACACACGCTCCACCTTCTGGGGCCGGTTGTTCAAAAGCCGATTAGCTTAATCCTAGGTTAACTTAAACTTCAAAGCACACTTCCTAACAGCTCGTTTCTAAATTTCGAAATATTTCTTCACAAATCATGTCTGGATCAATAGGAGTTTTCTTTTCTGACATTTTGAAATAAATGGGCATGTAGAAATATGCAAACTAAAAGAGCGGGTTACATTTTAACCCTGGGTTAGCGCTAATCCACCTTTCAACAACCGGCCCCAGGCCAGTAAACTGCATATTTTTCTGTTACTGATCCTTTATACTGTGAATTCCACGGAATAAAGATCCATACTGAAGGTCCTCGCGCATTACGCATGTCGGCCGCCATTTTCCTAGCTAGTCAATGACATTTTCTGGTCAATGAACACGCTCCGGCTTCTGGCTATGCAGTAAACTGCATATTTTTCTGTTACTGATCTTTATTCTGTTACCCCGGCCCCGTTTACACTGTACGTGATTCGCTGGTCACTACATCAGTTTGAACTGACAGTCAATGAAATAGCCTAAACATTTAGAATGGTAGTAAGAAGCAGAAACATACGGACGTTATCGAAAGAGTAAACCTTCGTTGTTAAACGTTGCTTCTGGGCAGCAAACGAATATGTCGCGACCAGCGAATCCGGTACAGTGTATGTAAACGGGGTCTAAGTTGTACTTTGTAAATCAAGCATACAACTCGCCTATAAGTTGTCGTATGTGAGTTGTGTGCTTGATTTACACAGTACAACTCAAGTTGTAAGCAGGTTGCATGCGACTGTTTTAGGGAGAAGTTTTGTATAGTCTAAACAACATTTTATTCGCCATTTGTGAATAGGCCATTACTGAATTAGCTTACACAAATCTAACTTAATGAACGAGTGACTGGGTAGCATGGAGAACAGTAGGATTTTCAAAACAATGAAAGCACAATGGAACATTCCGGTCACTGGATCGTAACTGGATAGCGCTGTTGTTATGTCATGAGTTAAGGCCGATTTAACTAAATAAGGTTATATTCAAATTACTTCATAGCCAAAAGGTGGTTTTCAAGTAATCCCACGAGACTTAGGGCAAGTAATGCTGAGATTCTAAAGAATTCTTTTGTGTGTATCATGATGAATCCCACGTATTACCGCCGTAGTTTAATGAACAGTTCATTGCACACAGTTCTGAGTAACCGTTCTAGACTAGTTCTTTGAACCATGCTTTAGTCGAGGTTCTTATAGTATGTACAAGATTCATGGCGCTTTTAACTGTTGTGTAAACCACTCTCCAGAACCTGAACTCTTCGTTATCGACATTAATGGTGAGTTATTAACTATATCTTGTAATAGTTAGGTTGTTTTAACTTCAGCGGCAAATCGCTCGCAGCCGTTCACACGAGCAAGTTTTCAAGTTTTATTTGCTCGTCTGTCTATGAACTGTGCCAATTTTTACTATGTCTATGACAAGTACACTAGCTTGTTCAAAAGCTAGTAAGCTAGAAACGAATTGGCAAAATACAAATTGTGTTCGTCTCCATACAGGTCAACAAAGAAAATTTGGCAAAGGAAAATTTGTTGTACGTACATATGTGCAATGCCAATAAACATCAGACTGATTGGAATTCATGCACTAAGTCTAGTAAAGACTGTAAACGTTTGCAATGAACATGCAGAAGGCTACAAACGAGCAAAGTGGGTTATATTTTACCCAGCAGCGTATTAGGTGCCGAGTAGACTGATTTAGAAAGCACAACGCGAACTGAAAGTCGCGCCTTCGAAACAAAGAAATTCTTGATGTAAAACAAAAAGTTTGAATACTTTGTCATTCTGAATGAGACTTTAAGCCCGACGCACACTAGGGCGAAATGCTTAGCAAAATGTCATTCGTGGCAGCATGCTTAGCAGGAGGCTCATTTTTCGAGTTTTTTGTCACTCGTGTTTAGGGCTATAATTTAGCTTTGAACAACCGGCTCTTGGAATCGGAAAATAATTTTATTTCTTCATTGTATCAAATCATCTTGTATTTGGTTGTTCATCATCTTGTTACATGCAATTCAATAGAAAGTTACCATTATAGACTAATTTTAAAACTAAGCAAGGAGATATCACCACAGCTAGAAAGAGCATACTGAAATGAGTAAAAATATATAGCCATGCAAAGTTTGCAAATTCTGTATACTTTTGCATTGCGTGCGGAAATTGCTACCATTTTCGGTCCAAATGTACTCATTCTAGTATGCTCTTTCTAGCTGTGGTGATTTATTTGCATCTCCTTGCTTATTTTAAAATTAGTCTATAATGAGAATTGTCTATTGTGAGGCAACTACATGGCATAAATAAGTATTGCTGAATAAGTTCATTTTTGTGATATCTGTTATAATTTGCTTTCCATACGCCGTGAACCTTTAACCGGCTTTTCCATGAAATCTTTCCACCATGAAGGTCGCTGTGTGTTCTTGGGGTCACTCAAGACTGCCTGGTATAGGTTCTCCAACGCCTGTAGAAAGCGAAAGTATGTGGCCATAAATTAGCTTGAGGTGGAGATATTGTCCAATTGTTGTCTATGGTGCATGGCCCTTACTGCATGGGCCTCTAGGGAGTAGGGAGAACAGTTTAGAACTGATAGAGCTATCCGTGAGTATAAATAAAGTTAGTTTAATTTAGGTTTCCTCCTGTAGTAACACTGGATCGATAAGACACGATCCTGACTGGACCTCTAGGAAGAACAGTTTAGAACTGATAGAGCTATCCAGTATAAATAAAGTTAGTTTAGTTTAGATTTCCTCGTGTGGTAACACTGGATCAATAAGAGACGATCCTTTCTGGACCTCTAGGGAGAACCGCTTAGAACTGACAGAGATATCCAGTATAAATAAAGTTAGTTTAGGTTTCCTCGTGTAGTAACACTGGATCAATAAGAGACGATCCTGACTGGAACTCCAGGGAGAACAGTGTAGAACTGACAGAGCTATCCAGTATAATACAAAACATAATCCGAAGATAAGCATTTTGAAACCCAAAATATGAGTCAAACAAGAAAGTGAGTGAATAATATTTCGATTTTATTACAAAATCATCATCAGTCACTTTCTTGTTTGACTCATATTTTGGGTTTCAAGATGCTTATCTTCGGATTATGTTTTATCCAGTATAAATAAAGTTAGTTTTAATAACTTAATGATGCCAAACCTTTCCATTACTATGTCCAATTGGAGAGTTCAGAACGAAGTCAGGCGGAGCGAGAGCATCGACCAAAGACACCGCTTCAGGTTTAATCTACAGGACAAAATATTTTGTTTAGGGCGGAGTTTAAGATGATTTATGGTGGATAACAAGCTAATGTAAGAACCTCGGTGCAAAGATCTACGATCGCCTTGCGAATCATTCTTGCATGAGATCCATTGTTGAAGAATCCACCTGGCAGAAAAAAATAGGTAAGTTTTTTTCATGAAGAGCTAAAGTGTGTATATCATGCTTGGATATTTATTGTAACATTTAGAATTTTTAAAGAATTCCATACAGCACATCAGGCATATCAAAAATGTGTTGAAGCTAAAGTTTGGATGTAGTTCTGTAGCCGGTTGTTTTTCAAACTTTCTAAAATATTCTGTTCTTTGGGGGAACCCATGCAGTACTTCAAAAAGTCGTTTCATTAAGACCAACCAGCTAGATGATTTTTCCACAACTGCATGAGGCAATTAGATCTGTTCTTCTATTAACTTACTATTATTAAAAAAATAGTATTCCCGGTCAGGGGGTTTTTCAATACTATTTACACTGAAAATATTTGAATTCCATGTTAAAATGTTTACATCATACGATGCTATCCTATACAAACCTTCAAAGAAAGTTCCCAAATGTTTTTCTAAGGTCGACAAACCGTACAAAACTTCTAATTTTGCCAAAATATTACGTAAGTCTGACGGAGTGTCAGGGTCGTTCACTAGTCCGTGAAATCTGTCGAAGACCGTTTTCTATATAAAGGATCGCTTATATAAGTATATGTGTTTTGACTGGAAAGCTCCTTCGATTGCGCACTCGTCAGTCAGAGCGAGCGTCTTTCGCCTCTGAGATCGTGGGTTTGATTCTCGCTATGGACTCGTGTGAAAAGAGTCCGTCAATGCTCTGCCGAAAGTCGTGGGTTTTCTCCGGGCGCTCCGGATTCCTCCCACAGGGAAAGTTGACAGGGTGGGTTAGGATAAACACAGTTAAGAAAGTAATATCACAATTGCATGTTGTAAAGATAAAATAGTCTAGGCTAAGTAGGTAATACTTGATGTAATCGGTGACTGAAAAGCCCTGTTGGGGAGTGAGCCGAATAATATATGTAACTTCATATGTTCTTAACCGATCCTTTATTGGTTCGGTGTAACTACTGAAACACAAGGAACCTGGGGAACACCTTGTCGAGTTTGGTAGAGTCAAAATGATTTACCAATCTATCTTCTCAGGTGAAATTATTACCAGACAATTCATTAATGCACGAGCCAAACCCGATAGCAGGGTTGAAAAACACATGCACTAACTACAGTGTCATCATGATGCGTGGCGGCCCAATTAGCGACTTCGTCATTCTCGTGCCCAGAGCCCTTCTTACGCGCGTTCGACCGAGCGCGACGAGGGGCTCTGGCCAAATCCACAACCGGATACCATAAAAACATGGTAACAGAACAATATCCGGTATTAGAACTGTGGCCAATCAGATGCCAGTTTGATATGGATTTGGCCAGAGCCCCTCGTCGCGCTCGGTCGAACGCGCGTAAGAAGGGCTCTGGGTATGAGAATGCGACTTCGTGAGAAAAAAGAATTGAAATAATCCTTGTGTCCAGACCCCCGTACACACCTGAATAAACGCGATAGCCAATGAACGGCAGAAGAAAACTTGACTGTCATTTTTTGCTGAAAAATTCTCCTATAGAGTTACAAAATCCAATATAAATTTTTCAGTACGTTTACTGACAGACTAAATAACATTATCTTTGATAAAAGCACATTATACCTTTCCGCTATTTAGCTCGGTCTGTATCTTTCCCTCGCTTTGTTTCAATAAATAACAAACCAGCCAGTTAAATGCTTGGGAAATAACTAAAAACATACAAAATCCTTGAAGGTTTCGTGTCTGTTGCGTAGCTATATGTGAGTATGAGACAACCATATATGATTGTAATGAAACCGTCCTGTTCTGGCTGCGTCCAGCTTAAGTAAATAATGTATAAGTCTAGAAGTATTTACGGAAAATTCACATACGATCTCACATGTGAAATTTTATGTCACGTAATTTTCAAACAATGAATTATTGACCCAAACGTTTCATATGTGAAATTTAGGATTTTCACACAAAAACTGATTTGAGTTTCACATATTTTTTCAATATTATGTTAAAATTAATTTCACATGTGAAATTATTATTTCAGACGCGGAATTGGGACATTTGAAAATGCATTTTCACATGTCAAATTATATGTGAAATTTTCGTAACCAATTACACATTTAATTAATTCCCACCTTCAGGATTTCTGTAATCAACATCTGCACATGCGTTGAAACTACTTGTCAGTATTCTGTCCATATGATTTAAGAATTCCACACAGCCTGTCGGCGAGTTTACTTGTCTTCCTAAAAGATGAACACGGCACTGAAATGTTTAACAACCTTTTTCCCCACTGTATGATTAAGATGTTCTGCAATCAGTGCAGAAAGTTATCGCTTTATGTACTGTATGTAAATATTTTATCCTCAAAGCTACAAGCAGCTTCGGTGGCGCAGTCGTTACAGCAAACGCCTTGCATCTCTTCGATTCTCGGTTGCGGGCACATGACATTTCTGTGAAAAGAGTCCGTCAACGCTCTACCGAAAGTCGTGGGTTTTCTCCGGGTGCTCCGGTTTCCTCCCACAGGGAAAGTTGACAGGGTGGGTGGAGATTAGCCCCTAACTTCAGGCCTCAAAATAACGGCCGGTCAACGGACAATGACCGGCCAAAAATGCCTCTTGACCGGTCACTTTTTTACCTCACCGGTCATTTTGACCGGCCACATTTTCATGCATGCCTTCCAAAGTGATTGCTGACGTCTGGAATTAAAACATGAAACTATGATGTATCGAAACAAGTTCCTAATAGTTTGTTTCACTGTTAGTGTAAGTGTATCAATGACCGGTGAAAAACAGATTTTGACTGAGCTAAAATCATGTTGACCAGTCATTTTGACCAGAGACCTAGACCCGTTATTTTAAGCCCTGTAACTTACCCTTCCACTGTAGTTGTACTCCGTGATCACACATGAGTCATATAAGGTGGCTGCTAGAGGCGCCCTTTGAAAGGCTTCGACTCGATCAGGTTGAGATTAGCCCTCAGCTGCAAGGCTTTACACAAGTTTACACTATGCCGGATAGCTTTTCGTAGCGACGTCAAAATCCACCTATCCGTACCTTACTAGTTTCTTTGAGGGATTATTGCAACGGAGAGATTCTGTTTCGCTCAGCTTCTGAAAGTTGTACATTCCGTATCGGATATAGCGGGTGCTTTTTCGCGCCGGTACGGAAAGCTATCCCGTATAGTGCAAATGTAGCCTGAGGATGATTAGCATACACCCACTTACTTACTAACTAACCTTTCTTCATTTCTTCTAGCTTCGCAAGTAAGAAATTACTGGTCTGACCAAGTAGCAAGTTGTTATCGCCTTCATAAGTACAGTTTGGGTCGTTATCATCCCTCAGCTCACCCAGCCTGTTGACTGACGAAAATATAAAGATATGACAAGGTAAGCCAGCCTGGACGTGAACCTTTACTGAGCAGGTGGAGCTTGATTTGGTTGATGAGGCTAACAGACTCGCAACAAGTTGTTCCAACAAGTCTGATATCGTCAGCACGCAACAAGTTGTTAATTAAGAAGTTGATGACAACAAACTCGTAGCAACTTGTTACGAACATCTTGTATTGGTCTTGTTGGAACAACTTGTAACAAGTCTGTTACAGCATTTGTCAGTCTGTTACACGTAACAATATTTTGTCAGACGTACTTTGTCAGTCTGTTACATCAACTTTGTAACAAGGTGATAGCAACATTACCAGCTAAATAGCCATGACCTCCACATGCTTCGCGACATTCCTGAATAGCATCACGTGCTGTCCACGCAGCGAGAGGTTTAGATGAACATGAGAGAGCATGAATTTCACGACCAAGATCAACCTTGAAACGACAATGCCATTGATAATTGAAGAGTATTGTGGATGGAAATTATCGAGTGGAAATTTATATACATTTATTAGACCTAACCAGGAACATAAGCGAAAAATGCAACTTTAGGTCCCTGACAGGAATCGAACCTGCGGCCCTGCGATTCCGGTGCAGCGCTCTAACCAACTGAGTACAGAGGACAGTTGTTGAGCTCTAACCAACTGAGCTACAGAGTCCAGTTGTCGAGCTCTAACCAACTGAGCTACAGAGTCCAGTTGTCGAGCTCTGACCAACTGAGCTACAGAGGCCAGTTGTCGAGCTCTAACCAACTGAGCTACAGAGAGACAGTTGTCGAGCTCTAACCAACTGAGCTACAGAGAGACAGTTGTCGAGCTCTAACCAACTGAGCTACAGAGGCCAGTTGTCGAGCTCTAACCAACTGAGCTACAGAGTCCAGTTGTCGAGCTCTGACCAACTGAGCTACAGAGGCCAGTTGTCGAGCTCTAACCACAAGTTCATGTATATATACTAAGGTACTGTCATGTATAGGTTATGGGTAAATATTTTATTATCAATAAATGTATATTAAATTTCCACTCGATAATTTCCATCTACAATACCCTTGAATCATTATTCAATCGAGTGAGATGCCAACAAAATCTTGATAATTTAATACGTCTGGAACGATGATCCGTGTACTTTTATACAACCATGGCCCGTATTGGCCTGTATAGATCGAGGGGACAGAAAGAAGTGGTTTCTACCTGATTTGCGTCAGATTCACCAAGAATCAAGCCAACATGAAACTGGAGCGTTTCTTTAAATAACGTTTTTGAGAAGTGCTGTAAGGCGTACGTCGCAGCCAGTAAAGGAATTAATCTCCATTGCTGTAAATAGAAAACATTTTACACCACAACAGCATCACCATCATCGTCATCATCACCATCGACGTCATCATCACCATCGACGTCATCATCACCATCATCATCACCGTCACCATCGTTACATAACCATAACCATCATTGTCTTCATCACCATCGGTATCGTAACGATGGTTACATAACCATTATTGTCATTATCATCAACGACATTATGAACATCATCGTCATCATCAACATCAGCGTCGTCATCATTGTCATCATCATCGTCATCATCACTATCAGCATTATCACCATTATGATCACCACCACTATCACTACCATCTATCTTCACCTGTTCACCACAACCTTATATTTACTTTCGAATTTCTTATTACTGCCGGTCTTTACAGTAAAAATTGATAAATAGATCCCTCCACCTACTTGCATTTGATATTCCAAAACAGGTATTTCATCTTTTCCTGGTGGTCCAAACTGCCGTCTAACTGCTGAATACCTATACAAGGAGCACCAAAAAACTATAAGCTGTCGTGAATTGTGCCTTGCCTACCTTAAAACACTTTGATGATTCGAGCATAATGGTAATTGAACAGAGTGGAGTGCAATGTTTGAGAATCCGAAAGGCCATACAGTTCGATTGAGCCTCACTGGATGTGAAAATTCGTGCCTTAAAGTGAAACAAACCTTATAGCGATGGTAAGACATAATTTTAAATTCACGACACACATTTCAGTAATCCCAACTCTGCCCTGGGACAGAGCACCTAATGCAGCCGCAAATCTTTTCCTAGGATCTTTAATTGAAGACACATATTGTCCATCTGGTGTGACATGAGTTGCTTTGTTTAGTAAGCATTCTCGTGGTATTCGTACATTGTTGAATGCTACAAAACTAGAAGCAAAGAATGAGAATGGTAATTTAAACGAATTATTAAACATGCACAATCGTCATTGTTGTATCATCACCATCACCATCACCAACATATTCATCAACATCAACATATTCATCAACATCAACATATTCATCAACATCAACATATTCATCAACATCAACATATTCATCAACGTCAACATATTCATCAACATATTCATCAACGTCAACATATTCATCAACGTCAGCATATTCATCAACATATTCATCATCATCACCATCACCATGATTACCATCACAATCACCACTATCATAACCATCAATACCATCATCTTCACCAACATCGCCATAACAACCATCACCACCATCATCACCACCACAACCATAATCACCACCACTACCAGCTGCAAATGCAATCTCACCCATTATCCAATTCATTCTGTCCTAACTTCTCTCCAATATCACCAACAAGTACTCCAGTTCTGGTAGTAAGATCATAGTTACGAACTTGTATGCAGAACATATGCAGACCATGACACACGCCATCTGGGGTGTACAGTTGAGCATATACCAAAGCATGGGTGGCCGTCTTACCAAGATTACCAACCCACCATTTTGTTGCTTCATAATCTGGTGTGTTTAAAACAAATTCCTATGATAATAGAAAACATTGACACAAAAATTATGAAATCAAAGTACAGGTTAAAGTATCAAGCTAAAGCATGAGGATGAGAGTAAAGCCGGTTTTCCACTAGGCGGAATTTTGCGCGCGGAGCGGAATTTTTCTTTGTCTTGTGATTTCTCGGGTGGAACTAATTAGAAAAGACAAAGAAAGAATCCGCTCCGCGGGCAAAATTCCGCCTAGTGGAAAACCGGCTTTAAGGCCGTTTTCCACTAGGCGGAATTTTCCGCGCGGAGCGGAATTTCTCTTTGTCTTGTGATTTCTCGGGTGGAACTAATTAGAAAAGACAAAGAGAAATTCCGCTGCGCGCGGAAAATTCCGCCTAGTGGAAAACGGCCTTTAGCAAGCGAGAGTTTGCACGAGAGTTCCTCAACTCTCGTACTCGGTAAACGAGAATATGTGTTGCACGAGAGTTGACTGAATATTACCGGTCCATGCAACGAGCTCAAACTTTCATCAATTCTCATACAGGGGCTTACTTTTTAATTTCTAGACTCTAGTCTTTGCAGAAGCCAATTCGCAATTTCGCGTAAAAGAACTCAGATCTTTTATGCTTTACAAATAGGGTTATGACAATAGACAATTAGAAATAAACAAAATGGAAAAATATGAAACGGAGACGCCGTAAGCCTTTGGTTTTCACAGCAGCCCTGGTAATCGAAGTCCAACCGGATCGGATTCGGATTAGATTCGTATCGGATTTGCACATCTCTACTCGAGACATTCTCCGGGTACTCTGGTTTCCTCCAACCGTGTAAGTTGACAGGGTGAGTTTAGCCTTGGTCAAACGAGATTGAGAGTTGACGAGAATAGAGAAGCGAGAGTTTGCCTGAGAGTTTCCTCAACTCTCGTGCCCCGGTGAGAGTTAACTGGATATTACCACGGACGTAGTGAAAACTATCATATCAGCAAAATCTGAACCAGCTCAAAGTTGATAAGAGTTGATGAGAATGCATGAGAGTTGATCAGAGTTGGCTGTCAAAGAGGCTCTATAGCCAAAGAGAGTTGGCTGAAGAATTAAATTAAATTAAATTATCTTGTCTCTTTCCTTTTACCTGCGTTGCTGGATCGAAAATTGCGGTGGTTCTCATTGCTTTAGTGTTGCTACCATGGCTCAACTCCGTGAGAGCAAAACAGCCAAATACCTTTAATAACATTAAAAACATTTCAAATACGATCTTTACAAAGTTCAAAGATAAATAGAACAGTGCAAGTTAATAAACAAGTATTACTAAGTTTAAGAAATTCACCTCTAGGTTATCGCACTTTTCTGCCAAAGAATGAGTCATTGGATGCTGACTTAATCTTTTCACATTGAAAGCAAATAACTGAAATATGGAGAAGGCATGGTCATTGTACCTCAGCACCCATCTATATCGATCTACCACCATTACACCTATCAACAACAGCACTCCATTATCAATTCGTAATCACTATTATCATCAATTCATAATTCACTGTTATCACAACCGTACCAATATTACCATTATCTACCATTGCTTTATAATATTACTATTGCTACCATTATTGCTACCATTGCCATCATCACATCATGACCATTACCACCACCACCATTGTCATCACCAACATTGTATCACTGTCACCATTATCACCACTGGCACCATCACTGACAACAACAACATCACCAGCATCATCACCGGCACCACTATCATCATCATCAATGTCATCATCATCACTGTCACCATTATCACCATCACTGCCAACATCATCACCAGCACCATCATCACCAGTATGATCACCACCACCATCATTCATCATCAGTATCATCACCATCACTGTCAACAACAACATCACCAGCATCATCACCAGCACCACTATCATCATCATCAATGTCATCATCATCACCACTGGCACCATCACTGTCAACAACGTCAACAGCATCATCACCAGCACCACTATCATTATCATCAATGTCATCATCACTGTCACCATTATCACCATCACTGCCAACATCATCATCACCAGCATCATCACCAGTATGATCACCACCATCATCATCACTGTCACCATCATCACCATCATCACTGTCACCATCATCACCATCATCACTGTCACCATCATCACCATCATCCCTGTCACCATCATCACCATCATCACTGTCACCATCACCACCATCATCACCATCATCACTGTCACTATCATCACCATCATCACTGTCACCATCATCACCATCATCACTGTCACCATCATCACTGTCACCATCATCATCATCACCATCATCATCATCATCATCACCAGTACCATCACAAGTATCATCACCACTACCATTACCACCACCATCTCCTTTACCACCATTATTATCATCAGCATCATTACCATCATCAGCATCATTACCATCATCATCACCTGAATCATCATTACCATCATCATCATTACCATCATCACCATAATTACAATCACACTGCTCTTCTTAGAGATCAGTTTAGTGTCATCCCTTGTCGATCTAGTGTTACTACAGAAGGGAAGAGTCTTGTGCATTAATGGTTAACCATTAATGACTATGTGCCTTGTTTATCCACTCAAATGCACCCAGCTGTATTATTTTACTCCGTCTAACGTCAGACAATTTTACTCTGTAAAATGCCAGACGATTTTACCCATGTCTAATGCCAAATGTGTTTACTAGTGTAGGAGAGTCTTGCACAAAACCCATTGAGCACCAGCACCGACTCTCCTTGACAAGTGAAAATCATCTGGCGTTAGACAGAGTAAAATGACAATTAAAGTATGACCAGTGCATTAGGATGCAATGGGTCATTCCACAAAAGATGCACACTCCCTCCAAGGAGGAAATTCCTGCCGTTCCGGAGGGGAGGGGGATTGTTGAAAAATGTGTTTCTGATAATAGTAAGTGTATTAGGACATCCGAAATGGGTAGAGGGGTTAACGTCCAATTTCCTCTGTGAGGGAGGTATGGATATTTTCTGGAATGACTTGATGGGTTAGACACAATTGGCAACAACCTGATGATGTAATTGAAACTTTGCCATCAATCCCCAATTGATCGAGCCAATCGCGTCCGTGATGCCATGGACGTTCAATGGATTTTCCCCAATCTCGCCCGCAAAATCATACTCCACGAGACGTTTAATCTTCAAAAATGTCAACCGTCGTTTTTCCTCGATAGACAAGCCTCGTGTGGTCTTTTTAAACAGCGGATCTTTTGCCAAAACACTCCAAATATGCTCCTTGGTGTCCAATATTTCGTCGCCGTCTATAAATCGCTTCATTTCATACCAGTCGAAGGAAGCTTTTTTCCTGTAAATATCCAAAGGTCCGGGGGGAAATTTAGTAAATATTTTGCTGCTGTCCACCATTTTTAAGCTGCTTTCTTTTTCCCAAAAGAAATTTTTAAATGCAAGAGGTGCCAAACAAAAAATTGAAAATATGTAGCTAATTGTTCAAATTGTTTTGGTTTTTCGACTAGACTTTGCTCTTGGACTTTGCTCGGTATTTGTCGGAAACACTCGGCGTGCCCACTTGACCTTGTTTCCATCGCTCAACATGACAAGTATTTTTTGTATATACAGGGTGTATCAAAAAAGATCATCCAGTTTTTTGTGCGTTAATTACTCAGCGTATGAACGTCATTTTTTCATAATCATAAAGATCAGCCAAAAAGCTGTGGGATGACACGTTTTTCATCCAACATGGAGAAAAAAATGAGCAAGTAGGACTACTGTAGGAGTCCGATAAAAATTTCTTGTCGAAATTGCATATTTTCAACGTCGAGAATTGAGTCTAAAACTATTGAAAATCAACTCCCTTTATGACTTAGGTTGATGAATTTCACTTCAATAAAATATCTGCATATATGCATAATTATTATAAACATCTTGTATAAAACAATAAAATCTGATGTAATGATGCCTTCGAGTGGTGTCCCTCAAGGGTCAATACTCGGGCCATTGTTGTTCCTGCTGTATATAAATGATATACAGAATTGCAGTAAAATAATTTCAATTATACTCTTTGCAGACGACACTAATATATTTTATAGTCATACTTGTCTAAAAAAACTCAATGAAATTATACAGAAGAGATTAATAAGATAACGAATTGGCCCAATACGAATATACATCTGTAAACAACTCGAAAACAAAATTTATGTTATTTAGATCATGCAAGAAAAAGCAAAAACACAATAGATCAATTTTTATAAACAATGAATTAATTAACCAAGTTAAAAATACAAGTTCTTAGGTGTGGTTCTTGATGAGTGCTTAACATGGAAGGATCATATTAACTTAATTTCAAAAAAATTTATTAAAGCTTCAAGTATCATTTCTAGAGTACGTTATTTCACCAATTTGAATGCTTTGAAATTAATTTATTATACACTAGACTATCCATATCTAATTTAATTTATGGCAACCTAATATGGGGTAACACCTATAAAACGAGAATTCAAAAACTAATGAGAATACAAAAGAAAATTGTCCGTTTAATAACATTCAAACCATATTTTGAGCATACTTAGAAATTCTGAACGTTTTCAAATCAACGACTTTTTAACCAGTATATTCATGTTTCGACTTTCGATACTTCAACTTAAAAAATCTCTCTGAAATATTTACGAACTACTTTGTAACTAACAATGAGGTTCATCACCACATTACAAGAAAAACATCCAAGCTTCATAAATCTTATAATAGAACTAATTATGCAAAACACACCGAGTAATTAACGCACATACATGTTGCAAACAAGTTTTCTGTCGCGGTTGCGCAGACCCTTTGTCCTGCTTTTTACCAATGTACTGAATCGGATTGCAGGCCATGACATCATGCCGCATTTTGAAGGATGGGAAATTAACAATCGGAATTTAAACCTTTTCGCAATCGTGGAAGAACCTCATCGACCTCTTGCAAAAATGGCAGCACAATCTATTCGTTTTGACGGTAAAGTTGTACTCATAACCGGTGCAGGAGGTGGTCTAGGCCGTGAATATGCTTTGGCCTTTGCTGCAAGAGGTGCGAAAGTCGTAGTGAACGATTTAGGAGGAAGCCCGAAGGGCGAAGGTCGGAGCTCCTCTTTGGCCGACAAAGTCGTAGCCGAAATTCGTGCAGCCGGCGGACAAGCGGTCGCTAACTACGAGTCGGTGGAAAACGGCGAGGCATTAGTTAGCCAAGCTATAAAAGCGTTTGGTCGTATCGATATTTTGATTAATAATGCCGGAATTTTGAGAGATCGGTCTTTTGGCAACATGAGCACCCTTGATTGGGATTTGGTACACCGGGTCCATCTTAGGGGTGCATTTTTGGTCACAAAAGCTGCATGGCCGCACATGAAAAAGCAACGGTACGGACGGATCATAATGACGAGCTCGACATCTGGGGTTTTTGGTAACTATGGACAAGCTAATTACTCCGCAGCCAAGCTTGGACTGCACGGTTTAGGGCAAACTCTGGCAATCGAAGGCGAGCGCTACAACATTAAATGCAATACGATCATCCCGGTTGCAGATTCACGGCTAACCAAAGGGGTGATGCCCGAAGAAGTATTAAAAATGGTATCGCCGAGGTTGGTCGCGCCATTCTTGGTGTACCTATGCCACGAGTCTTGCAACGAGAACGGCGGGTTGTTCTTCATTGCAGGAGGTGCGGCAGCTGTCATACGCTGGCAGCAATCGAAAGGGGTTAACCTCTTGTCAGACGGCCGAGATATCACTGCCGAACTGGTACGGGATAGTTGGGCGCAGGTTAAAGACTGGGCCAACCCTTCCTACCCTGCAAACGGACAAGGAGGGATGACAGCTTTGCTAACGGGAGACGTACCATCCACTGGTAGTGACCCACCCGCACAAGCCGAGGACAAGTTCAGTTACACGTTCAAGGACGTTATACAATATGCATTAGGAGTTGGGGTCAGCGTTAAGGAAGATGGTTCGCATTTGAAATTTCTGTATGAAGGTCATGATGACTTCAGTGTCTTGCCAACTTTTGCCATCATTCCTGGACAGGTAAGACTGAGAACGTTGCTTTAAACCTGGTTCACATAAAATCGTTAAGCAGTCACAGACTGTCACAGACATGTACCGAATTTTTATATGAATGATCTGCGACGGATCGGGAAAGTTGAACCAAGTTCAACTTTCCCGATCCGTCGCCGATCCGGTCTCAGACAGTCTGCACAAATCTGCATTTGTGTTCATATAAAAATTCGGCACATGTCTGCGACTGTCTGCACGACTGCTTAACGATTTTATGTGAACCAGGCTTTAGATTAAATTAGACTTTAGTTTCCCATCCTATGATTTGTCCATGTAATATTTCTAAGTGCTGACTTGTTTAAGTAGGGCGCACTGGAGCACATTGCCGCTCAATGGGTTAACTAGAGACTTTTTGGTTAACCCATTAAGCTGCAGAGCTTCCCCATTGACAAGTAAAATCATTTGGTGTTCGACAAGTAAGAGAAAATAAGTAGGGCACACTGGGGCAGCTCATTGGGTTAATAATTAAATGCAAAGGTGAAATCTTAAGAGGGATGGATACCCAGCCTTGTTTACAAGTAAAATCATCTGGCATTAGACAAAGTAACATAATAGAGTTCAGCATAGTGCGATGCGACTCAATGGGTTAACATTGGTTGAATCATACAATTTTTAGACGGGCATTGGTTCTGCTTTGAGTAAAGAAAAAACTGGAATTGAAATCAATCTTGCAAAGGTAATGTACCATTATAAACAAGTGAGTTACTTGGTGCTTCCACCGATGAAAAAACATGTCTTGTTTTTGTGTGTCAAAACATTCAGGAGTGTGACTACATTCCTACACCTACCTTTGCTAAAATGTCAAACTATCATTGGCTAATTTTGGCACGGACCAATCAGACCAATCAGATGTTGCCATTTTCAAATTGTTGATTGCACGACATTGGGGGAGTTGTCACATTCCTGAATGTTTCAACCAGGGGCGAAACTAGCCCCTTTTAATTTGGGGGAGGGGTGTCTGGCAGAATTGCCCTGCCAAAACCAATGATGGCTGCCAGTGCCAATACAATACACCACTAGGTTACATGTATAATTGAACTGCCAAATGAATGTACATGCATACAAATTAAATTGCCCTGCCAATCGAGATGATTCGTATTCGGGGGGCACACCAGCCCCCCCCCCCCCTCAAGTTTTGCCCCTGGTTTTGACATGAAAGCATGACATGATTTTTTGGGCAAGAGGAAGGATTCACAGTTTTGGTAATATTACTGTTCAAACTTGTGGCCCTTTGATTCTGATGGTCATGCGGTGATCTACACAGCTAAAAACGGTTAGGTTGTTGCAATATTGATGAAAACAGGATTGAACAATGTTGTGCAGCCCACATTGTTCACAGTTGTCAACAGTTTTGAACAATATTGTTACATCCGATTCAGGCTTAACAAGTGTGAACCAGGACTCGAATTGTATCGCGGCAATTATTGCCGTAGAGGGAGAACAAAATGCCATGGATCATTGTGGCAACGACGGCAATTTTTTGCCGTATAGTGCAATTGTTATACTATTCACTGTGCATTACTATTTTGATACTTGAATTCAGATGTTGATCAAATCATGCGTAAATCATTATTTTGGTCTCAGTTTTCTTTGAAAAAAAAAAAACAACTAAAGAAATACGTAAGTTTTATTACAGTAATTTGAAAAATGCCGTGGAAACTGTCAGGATTGCCGTAGACAGCTGTTACGTTCTACAGCAATTTTTAACGCCATTGCCATCTGTTATGTTTGTACATCCGTATGTATAACTGCATTTATTAGACTAACACTAATGTGAGCACAGCAACTCTTATATAGCTAAGTTTATACATAAATTAACATATTAAACAATAATACAACATCCCTCTTCTTAAATAAGAAAAGTATCTATACTAATCTATATACGTATAAGTTTTGGGGTTTTTTTGTTCTTTTTAAGTCATTATTCTAAAATTATCTAATTGATCTAAAGTTTAATTAATTGTCAAACAACTATTATCTAATGTTCATAACTAATAGTCATTATACCTATTTGGTTTCGTAATTATTCTTCCACTTCTAGTCTTTAGTGGAGATGCACTAAATTGTTTATCAAGTGTTACTGGTAATTGTTCCTCTGATGTTTCTTCTGTAGATACTGCATTATCACCATCATTTGCTGGTTCTGTTCCAACTGCATTCTCTTCATTGCTTTGACTAATGGGATCATCACAATCTTCTTTTCCAAATGACTGTGAATTTCCTTCTTTCGTCTTGAGAATGTGTTTCCTGTTTCTTCTGTAAGTGCTTCCATCTGGACTTTGCACGATATATGACCTTGGTGTGTGTGCTTGACTAGTTACCACAGCTGGATTCCATATTTTTCCTTGCTTTATGCGAACTTGCTCGCCTTGTGATATTGTAGGAAGTTCTTTGGAGCCTCGGTCATAATACAGTTTCTGAAAGGTTTTCTTGGTTATTAACTTCGAACTCGCTAGATCTTCATCAATGACTTTAGGTTGTAACAGAGACTTCGTTGTGGGAACAACAGGTCTTAATCTTCTGCTCATCAGTAATTGCACTGGTGAACCAATCTGATCAATGGGTGTATTTCGATATTCTAAAATACTAATCTCTTCCATCTCTGTTTGCTTTGTTTAATAAGTTTTTGACAGTCTGCACCAATCTTTCAACTAGACCATTAGCTTGTGGATGGTATGGACTGGTCGTCGTGTGTTGAAAATTCCACTCTTGCGAAAACTTTCCAAATTCTTGTGATGTGTACTGCGGACCATTATCACTCTTTACTTCTCTAGGAATCCCGTGTCTGGCGAATATAGATTTCATGTAAGTAACCAAAGTGCTGCTCTTAATATCTGGCAACTTCGCAATCTCAAAATAACGTGAAAAATAGTCCACAACTAATAGATAGTTTGAATTGTTCCAGTAGAACAAATCAGTGGCGACAGTATCCCATGGAATCGTGGGAGTTGGTTGAACTATCATGGGCTCTTTCTGGTTTGATGGTCGATATTCTAGACAGGTAGGACATTTCAAGACCATTTCTTCTATCTGTGAATTCATCCCTGGCCAATACAGAACATCCCGTGCACGTTTCTTGCATTTTTCGGTTCCCATGTGTCCAGCATGAATCTTTTCCAACATTTCAGGTCGAAAGGAACTTGGGATGATGATCTTTTCATTCTTCAAAAGAATTCCATCAATCTCTGAGATTTCCTCTCTACAATGCCAATACTCCTTAATTTTGACTGGTGTTTCTCGTTTTGTATCTGGCCACCCGCTCAAAACGGTCTTCTTAAGCTGCCGTAGTGATTCATCTTATTCTGTGGCCATCCTGAGTCTCGCCATCATGTCATCGGTCGCAGGAAGATTGGACATCACCATGTGAACATAGCAAGATATTTCTTTCTCTAACTCTGAATCTGTAATGGGAAGTGGTGCCCGTGATAGAGTGTCCGCTACCACAAGATCCTTGCCTGGCTTATGCTTGTAGGTGAAATCATATTTCTGTAATCTTAACAACATCCTTTGCAATCTGAGAGGAGCATCATGTAAGGATTTCTTTAAAATGATCTCAAGTGGCTTATGGTCATTTTCTACAAGAACTTTCACGCCATAGGTGTACGCATTGAATCTTTCAAGAGCAAATAAAACAGAGAGTAGTTCTTTCTCAATCTGTGCATATCTGGTTTCTGCTTCAGTCATAGAACGAGACACGCATAGGCAATTGGTTGTTCTTCCTGGATCAGAACTGCACCAAGTCCATTCTGCGAGGCATCACAACGCACTATAACCGGTTTAGTTGGATCAAAAAACTTTAGAACTGGTTGCTGGGTAAGAATTTCTTTAATCTCATCAAAAGCTTTTGTCTGCTCGTGCGACCAATAGAACTCGATATCTTTCTTCAGCAGTTCTCTGATTGGCGCTGTTATCGTTGCTAGGTTAGGTACAAATTTTGCTAAGTAATTTACAGTTCCAAGTAATCTTTCAATCTCCTTCTTCGATGAGGGTGTTGGCATATCTTGAATTGCTTTAATCTTCGACTCGTCAGGTTTCACACCATCTTTCGTGAAGTTGTGACCACAATACGATACTTCATTCACATTGAACTTGCACTTGTCTACATTTAACGCGAGGTTTATTTCTTCACATCGTTGTAAGGTGGCTTCTAATCGTGCGTCGTGCTCTTGTTCATCAGATCCCCAAATGAGTATGTCATCAATCTCAGTGGCTACACCTTCGAGGTCATCAAGATGCTGCGAAATTCTCTTCTGGAAAACTTCCTGTGCAGATTTAACTCATTAAGCGGCAAGCTGTTACAATGTTTCTACCCGCCTAAGGCGCGAGCAATATGGCGAATTTGTGATTGAATTCAAGAGCTTTCACCAAAATAGCAATATCTCAGAAAGAGTTGCATAAAAAAATCTGATCTTTTCAACCAAACATTAGTGATATATGATTGACCAAATTTAGTTTAAATGACTTTGCATACCTACATATATCACTAGTTTTTTCAATGAGAATTTTTATTGTAAAGCAGTGACACTTTGTTTTTCATGTCACTCATCACCGAAAGGGGCAATATCTCCATACATTTATATAAAAACAAAAAAAAATCATTTACTAAATTAGTACATATCTATATTATAACCAATTTTCATCTTTTGGGATATGAATTAGAAAACGATCAAAAATTATAAAAAATACTCATTTGCTTTTTTTGGGCAAGATGTTTACAACATGAAATTTAGAACAGTAACTAAGTGTTTAAATTCAACAAAATGTGGAAGCCAAAACACAGTGCTTGTTCATCTTTGGAGTTTTAAATTACCTCAAATATATTTAAAAGGACATATGGTACTAGAATTTATTTATTTTCAATATAAACCAAGGATGGGAAGGTGAGAAAATAGGAATTTTCTGAGGTGTTTTTAACACAGACAATGACAGCCGACATTTTCAAAGGCAAATTGCGGTGACAAAACCAAAAGTTATTCACTTCTCTACTCAAAGCACTGAAAAACACCATAAAGAGTAAAACATTTTAAACATACATCAGGTAAGCCTTTTAGCTCAATTTTCTCATGTTTCTGTTTGGAAAGAAACGGTTTTTAGCCAAAATTATTTTGCGCGCCAATGTAGGCTGCTATAAAATGTCAGACACGCGTTCTCTTTTGAAGTCTGGCTCTGAAAAACAATCGCTTTTTTTTAGTTGGAAATAAGCTTTCATTAGGACTAATTGTGTAGAAATGTTATCTGTATGCTCAAATGAAAAAGATAACCTAATATTCAGGTATT